CAGCTCCATTTCTTATGCTGCGTAACAGAAAAAACTCAATTCTTTTGTCTGCCAAAATCCTACTCCCTTGCTTCCCCTCTCCTCCTCCCAATTATCTCTCATATGAAGATTTTTCTCCATATTCCTTATTTCTCTTTTTGAACAGTGTAACTAACACTGTACAAAAATGGTAAAGGCACACAATCAAGTGTTTTAAGATTTTCTCTATTAGTCTATATGTGGCAAAAAATACGCAACCCAAACAACCAGCTGAGCGGAAGCTTTCATGCAAAAGTCTGCAAAGGATGTCCAGGTCCTTTTTCTGTGTGAAATAATGCTAAAGTCAGCTCTGGGGCTCCCAACATAAAAAGCATGTGGACTGTTAGAGTGAGTCCAGACAAGGTCCATGATGATTACAGCTGAAGCACATCTCCTATGGAGACAGGCTGAGTTCGGCTTATTCATCCTGGAGAAGAGAAGGCTCTGGGGAGACCTTGTAACAGTCTTCCAAGTACCTAAAGTTGAGGCCTACAAGAAAGCTGAAGAGAGACTTTTTACAAGGGCATGTACTGATAGGACAAGGGGGAATGGCTTTAAACTGAAAGAGGGTAGATTTAGACAATACATTAGGAACAAGTTCTTTAATGTGATGGTGGTGAGACACTGAAACAGGTTGCCTGGAGAAGCGTGGCTGCCCTGTCCCTGGAAGTGTATAAGGCAGGCTGGATAGCGCTTTGAGCAATTCGATGCAGTGGAAGGTGTCCCTGCCCATGGCAGGGAGGTTGGAATTAGATGGTCTTTAATGTCCCTTACAACCCAAACCATTCTATGATTCTACAATTTTTCAAATGGTTGGTGCCATTTGGCTGAGCCACAGCCAAGAGCTACCTTCTCAAATTTAAAAGTAATACCTACTTGTAGTTATTCTGCCAGTCCTACTGCAAACTTTTAAAAGTCTGCTTGCATAAGAATTCTGAATTATGTTGCTGATACATATAAGCCATAGAATCATAGAATAGTTAGGGTTGGAAAGGACCTTAAGATCAAGTTCCAAGCCCCCTGCCATGGGCAGGGACACCTCACACTAAACCATATCACCCAAGGCCTCGTCCAACCTGGTCTTGAACACTGCCAGGGACGGAGCATTCACAACCTCCCTGGGCAACCTATTCCAGTGCCTCACCACCCTAACAGGAAAGAATTTCCTGCTTATATCCAATCTAAACTTCCCCTGTTTAAGTTTTAACCCGTTACCCCTTGTCCTGTCACTGCAGTCCCTAACGAAGAGTCCCTCCCCATCTCTACCTGCTCAAAGTTGCCCTAGACCACATGAGGGTGCCTTCCTTCTCACTGGTTTAGTAAGAAGCCTCAAAAGAGGGGCAGGGACACCCATTACACTTGCATTAAACACACTTCTCTACAAATTCCAAAAGAGCAGCGCACAACTGCCACTGCTTCCGACAACATAAACCTGCAACAAATTATTTCAAAATCTTGCTATTTCTATTACAAAAGTCCCTTCTTTTTCCAGCTGATAGCACATGATGTGTTGCTACCATGCACTAACAGGAAAAGTATTTCCTCAAGCACTTTACCTAGAAAGTCTTTTCTTATCAGAAAAATCTATTTACAATAAGCTGATAGGACTTTTACACCTTCTTGCCCATGACGCATTTCCACAAATAAGTAAAAAAAAACAACTCATTAGAAACCAGTTGGCCCTTTGAAATCTAATACCATTTCAACTTTTGCTGTACTGGTAACCAAGAAAATGAATCTGATGTAAAAGATAACCATCAAGAGACATACTTCTTGAGAAAAACAAGTGGTCAGACTAAGTGATGGGAACTGCACCTAATTCAACATGCACCGTGGAAAATCTTTGTACAGAAAGGAAAGTAACACAACGTAAGTAAATAATCTGTGGTTTTCTTTCTCGGTTATCTTGAGTCCTCCACACACTTCAGAATGCATTACTGTAATATAGCCTACACAGAATCTTCAAGATCAGACTGAAATTTCATCTAATACAGAATGCTTATATAACAACCTTTCACAACAGAAGCATGCTGTATCTTCATTCCTGTATTATAATAGTTTCATATTAATTACCAACTGGAAAAAAAAAGGCAGTAACTTCAAAATACAAATTCCCCTATGACTTATCTCATGTACTTTCAGTCAGATGGTTTTCTGGCCTAACAGCCAGTATTACCTGGCATGCTCCAACAACCAACCATCTGATTTATTGGGTGCAGGAGCCATAAAACCACACAGAGTTTCATCTGCAATATGATCTGTTGAATCCACAGGGAAAAATAGTTTTCAACAATGAGTAGGCTTCACAAAAAAAAAAAAAAAAAAGCTTTATAAACAATCATGTGCTTAAAAGGTACCTTACAGTGGCCACTGTATAGCTATTTTAAGATGCTCAGGATGTTTGAGAGCATAAATGCAGATGGGTTCTTTCTTTCTAGTTCAGCTTTACACTTCATATTGTTTAAAAGCTAGGATTCCACAAGTTCTTTCGAATGAAAGATTTTCTCCCAGCTATTTAGCATGTGAACCATATGATCTCTTGCATGAAGTAAAAAAAAAAAAGAAAAAAATTAAAAAATATTACCCTTCATATTATTATATATTACAGAATAGGAAAGGTCAATTCACTATGCATCATGAAACACTCTTCTACAGCACTAGTTATTGTGAGGTACAGAACTTAAAATATCAGTCTTTGCCATCATTATCAAAGATGACCACTCTCAGCATCACCCAAGACCTCTGAATCACATATAAAGCAATTAAATCAATATTTTAATACACACTCACTGATTCTCAGCTTCTGCAATGCGTAATTCAACAAGATTTATAATGGTTTCCATCCAGATTGCTGGTGATTCACCAGCAACATGGCATAAACTTCCAAAAGCAATCCTGTTAACTTCTTTCATCTACTGTAACATGACCACTTTCATATAGTAATGTATGTGTCCTAAGATGTCCATAAGTATTAAACCCTCACATATTAATGTATGTAACTTCTGGATTCATACATTCATCTGTAAATTGGAACATTAGTTTTCAAAATCATTACCAGAATAATCCCATCACAAATTTCTAAAATACTTTGCTTTAAAGTAAGATAGTTTGAAAACAAAGTTGACAAAAAAAAAAAACAACCCACAACCCACAAACACCAGAAGACATTGAAGTAACTTCCCACTTATCTCAATTAAATTTACTGCTGCTCAGAAGTGACTGACAAGCACACCACTCAAGTCTCTGGTTGTCAAAACAGACTGCTCTGATGGTACCTGCATTTCTAAATTTCCCTCAAAGAAGCCTGTCAAGCTGTCTATTTTGACAGAACCTTTTCCAGGACAGGAAGATAAAGCAATAAGCTATCACGGGGAAAAGAAAAGGTGCCTAACTAATAACATCTGCTATTTATGTTAGTGGAAACTGTCATTCCATATAAACATTGTGTATTAATGGACTGAAGAAAGCCACACTGCTACTGATGAAGCTTAGAAACCATCAATAAGGTATACAATCCTCCAAGGAACACTGGGTTATTTATTCAACTACAAAGCCTCTTATTAACTTCATTGACTTCAAATGCAGAAGAAATGCAGGCATTTATAACTGATACAATTAATGTACTATAAATCCTTATAAACCTGAAGGAGGTAAAAGAAAAAGTTTAGGAACACATTAATTTCTGCTCCATAATATTGCTGTGTTATCTAACAACTCCATAGCTATATAATGCAAATAGTATATAAATACCGAGTTTAACTGCATTTCTTTTCCAAGCAGAGTCATTAGAAGATAGCATTGCTAACCTAGTAACAACGATTAAAACATCTCCAGAACAGTCCAGGTTACTTTGAACCTTCTAATAATTTTTGCATTCCCCCCCCCCCCCCTTCGGCCATTTTCAATATAGGAAAAGCGTAGAGAAAACAGTAGGCTACCACTCGATGGATAGAAGTCATTCATAGTTGGCTACATAAAAACAAAACAAGCTGCTCTGAAGAAAAAAAAACATGCATGTGGAGAAAATTAAATGTTCCTAGGGAATAAAAAACCCCACAACATCAACAACAACAACAAAAAACAAACAAACAAACAAGCAAAAAAAAAAAAAACCAAAAACCAACAAAGAGTTCCCTGTTTTAAAACGGCACAGGTTTCACAATGGCTTCTGAGGACAAAAACTGACACCAGGACATTCTCACCACCAAAGCACATAAAAATGCAGCTACATCAATACCGCACTCCTGGCAAGAAACCTTACCCATCCTCGCCCTCTTAATCCAACAACTAAAACAACTCCATGGCAAAAAACTAGCGAAAGTGGATTTTCTGTTCGGTTTTATCACGGTTTCTCCCCACGCAAAGGGAGGCCGGGGGCCACCTCGCTCTTCCCTCAAGCACCACAGACAAAAGAGCGACAACCCGGGGAGGGTGGGGGAAGTGTCCCCTCTCACCGACCGCGGGAAGAGCGGGGGTGTCTCCGGCCTTATTTCTCCCCCAGTTCTCCCCACTGTTGTGTGTTCATCCTGGCAGAGTGCGACACAGAGATGCGCTTTCTCTTCTTCCTCAGAAAAACAACAGCAGACACAAACCTCACACAAAAGGTGGCTGTCCCTTCTCGCCACAGGCCGGGACGATGCCACCTCTCCCCAGCCCCCAGGCCGGACCCAAGCACTGGGCCCTCCACCTTCCCCCGCACTGAGGACGGCGGCCTTCTCAATTCCCTCTCTCCCCGCCTGCCTACCCGGAGCACTCGGAAATCGAGCCGGGCAGGATCCTGAGGCCTAGCGAGACAGTTGGCGGTACAGGCCCCACGGGCAATTCAGCACGCATCCTTCCATCTCTCTTCTTCAGGAAGACCAGCAGAGCCCTCATACTCCCACAGCGCTCCTGAAACCCACCCCATTGTTCCCCGCACCTCAGTCAATCCGCTCCCCGCAGTGGAGCGCTGCAGCGAAGGGTACAGAAGACAGCGTACTCACCACACGGGCCGGGCTCCCCGCAGCGGCCACCGACCCCCTCAGCTACGACACACAGTGGCGGCCGCAGCGCCCTGTTTCTTCAGCACCCGCAGGCCCCGGGACTCCCCCACCGCCATGACCCGCCACCCCTCCTTCGCCGCCACCGCTGCTGCAGCAGCGGCCATCTTGTGCGTCGGGTGCCTCCTCTCACCGCCTGCCTCCCTCTCTGCACCGCCTTGTCGTTGCTGCCTGTCACCCGCCCCTTCCTGCGCCCTCCTCCCCTGGAAGGCGGGGTAGGACTTCGCAGAAAAAGCCGAGTCACGGCTTCGGCTGTTAGAAGAGCTAGGTAGGGTATCGTGTTGTATGGGTTACCGCAGCAGGTCGGCCGACAGTATTTACTATTTTGTTACCTTCCTTCGCCTTTTGAGCGGATTTTTCTTTCACCTCATCGTCGTTACATTCATGGCGGAAGGAGCCAGGCTATGGAATCAGGGTTGTGGCTCTTCATAGGCTAAGTAGCCTGAGGAGCTCGCTCTGGGTTCGGAGCTTGCCTAAGCCCCCAGCCCGCCATTTTCTCGCCCTTGGTGCCCACGATAGGGAGGGAGCGTTCTCTGTTTTGTACACAGTGTGGTTCCTGTCTTCTTACTACTGTGGTTTATTCATGTCAGCAAAACTTAGGGCTTGGGGTTTGGTTTATTTTGGTTATAGGGGAGGGAAAGACAAATCATTGCTTTTCCCACTTACGTGGATGTGCAGGAAAAGACTTTGTTGCTTTACCCATGAGACCCCCAAGAAAGCACACAGCTCATGCTTGTTGCTGGAGAAGGTCCCCTGTAGTTTTCTTGGCTGCAGAACACAGTTAATCCTTAGCCTCAACCAGCACGGCAGGTAAGATGCACTGGGGCTGCACCGAGCTTTCTTGTATCACACAGTATCTGAATTACAGTTGGGCTGCTGAAGAAATTTTTAAATCATGTTGCAGCAAGTATTGATTATGTTTTTGTAGCATTAGCATGTATTGACTTAAAGTATTATGAGAGCTAATTATTTAACAGCTCATTATTTAGCATTTCAAGGTAGTATCAAATTCCCATTTTATTAGAACATGGACTTGGAGAACATGAGAACAAGGAATTTGTCTGAATTTATTTCCAAACATAAGAACAGAAATGGTTTTCAGTGGTCCTTTCCTATTCCCCAGATACTTTACCATGTGTATGCCTAGCTGGAGGCTCCATTGGGTTAGTGCTTGTGTGAAGTCATTGCGTAGGATGCTGCATCTGGAATCACTGCATTTCTAAACACTTTATGCCACTGTAAAAAGCGTGCAGAGTATTACCAGTTCAACATCTGAACTGCAGAGGACTATGTGACCTTGAGATACAATTAAAACAGTGCAATGTCAGGTCAGAAGCAACCAGGCCAGAGCCAAGGACTTGAGACAGCAAAAGGAAGCTGGGTTGTCACATGCAGACAGAAGCATGGGTACAAATTGCAGAGCTAGATGCCTAGACACAAGGGAAAAGATACACAGGGTGAGATTAATCTTCCACTCTGGTTTCTGATGCTTGGATTATTTGTAAACAGATTTTCATGTTAACTTCACAAGAAGTGTAGTGATAATAGCTAAATGTGTTATTTCTGTCTGTTTTACTAAAGAAATAATCTGTACTATTTAGTTTTTTTCTCCCAAAACAGTTAATGCTTATCAAGGATTGAATAAACGTATTTATGAAAACAGGGTTTTCTTGCTATGTTCACAGGCATTTGGGATTTTATGATCACAGAAGACTAAGATACTTACAAAAATCTTCTTTAATTTAGTGAGAGCCTTACTATGAGTTAAAAAGAAGTGTAAATTGGGAAGATTAACATGGAAGTGTAAATCTTAATCTGTTTTATGGTTGTTTCAAAGAAATTAACAGGAAAGTTTTTAAAGTTTACCAACAGAAATCTAAATCAGTGTTTGTAAGCATCAGGATCCTTACTGCCGTCATTACACAATTAAATATTGGAATGGATGATTTAATCAAGAATGTAATAGCCAGATTTGAAAGTCAGGGATGATCACAGGTTAGTACATTATTTTTATCCATGATATTGGCGTTGTAATACTTCCTATAATGCCCCAATGAAACATTAATCCCACTTGTTCTTAATTACTAGATAAATTATGTAAGAGATTTTGTCCTGAAGCACAATCTTTCATTTAACCAATTGGCAAATTGCAGCATAATTCTTAAAAAAAAAAAAAATCTGAATCTTTATAGTCCTACATAATTAGTCCTCTCTCTTGGAAATGAACCACTAAGCAGTATCTTTGCACATTATTCTAGATCAATTTACATATTGTCTTCATCCTATTACTCTGATTTTAAAATTGTACAAAAAAAGTTTCAATGAGTATTTGCCATCTTCTGCAAATTCCTCTCCTAGACACTAGAAATGTGAGCCTCAATGAAATTATTGGTATCCTGTTCGGATGCAAAGACAGCACTAGGAGCTAAAATGGTAGGTGTTCTTTCCAACCTTTGTTTAAAGTCACAGAAGCTAGAAATGGTCAAGGCCTAAGCACATTGTGTTTACTTCCTAGTTTATGGCAGGTGACTGTACACAGTACACCATTCTGAAGGTTTATTCAGTAATGCTGCAATCTCAAGACTTCTGCCACTTCTTATGCTTGGTTCCTGTATACAGTTTCTATATTGCAGAAAGGCTTTCATCTTCAGGAGCTTATGTTTTCCCTCAGTATTTAATTCTGTCACCAGTATTTACTTGCTAACAAGGATTTTCAGTATTACAATGGAGTTTACCACAATTGCATCGTTTACATTTAAAGAAAAGGGATCTTAAATGACCTGTGGTTCATATTAAGTAGTATTACAAAGATGAATACTCTAAATCTCAAAACCCATTTTAGAAGCCTGTAGATTAGATAGTTTTTTTCTTTAGGAACTGATCTCACTGGATACCTAGAGTATTTTTAATGTCTTTCTCAAGTCATGCAGCATTTCTTCCTGCATGACACCTGTGTTAGCATATGAAACACAAAACAGTACTTATTTTTAGGATTGGTGTTTTCGTATTTCATCTTATTAAAGCTGCTCTAATTTATCTCCACTTGTTCACACTGTTCTTTCTTTTATGTCCTTAAAACCCCACAGGAATTAGATTTGAGTCCACAACATACCATTTCAATTTTCCATTCCTTTATTTCCTCTCCAAAGGGGATAATGTGTATGCGTGGTTCTATGATTTTACATCTGCGACCACCCTAATAATGTTCTTCAGATTATATATTACCTATTACAGAAATAGGTAAAATACCAGTGGAACTGTCAAATGCTGTCATCACATGATTTAATTTCTATATAACTCTTTCCATATAAAACTGTGGTGGCAGAATAGCTGTCTTCATAAAGATTGTTTTTTTATTTTTTTTAAATGCATTGGCAATGTTTCAATTTTCTGTACATGACCTGTAAAGCTGATAATAATGGAAAATTTCTCATTTTGAAACCTGTGATATCAGAATGAGAGGCAAGAATGAAGTACTTTTCCATCTGGCTGCAAGCATGTAAAAAGAGCTGTTTTTTTTCACACAGCCAAGATTCTTACGTATATCCTACAAACCAAAAGATAATAAAAAAGAAAATATTTAGCACTTTTGCATGCTTGACCATAACATTATCAAAACCTTAAATTCCTGCACTTTTATAAAATTCTACTCACAAAACCAGAAGTCTGAAGCATATCCACCCAACATAATAATTGTAAAAAAAAACCAATACAGATTAGAGTATGCTGAATATCATCCGGGGCCATGTAATTCAGATGCTACTTTTAAAGCTAGTTACACATGCTTATTTTAAAATAATAAGAGGTTCATAGCAAAATCTTCTACCATGGAAGGACATGCTTGCTATCTCAACGATAACGTATGAGGTTTAGAATTCCTTTTATACAAGAGAAGTCTGAATGATTTAAAGGAATGTGAGATTTGTAAATGTAAAATTAATATTCCTCCATGAATGCTTCTCTCTCAACCATTCAATTTGCACAAGCAAATAATACTACATAACCACCAAACATTATCAGATTTGTTTAAACACTTTTTGCACTTGTTTGATGCTATTCATAATACATTTGCAGAATATCAGTGCAGTTATTAACATTTGGGTTTTTAGGCTACTTGGAGTGCAAAATATCTATGTAAAGAAATACTCCCTGTAGCTGCAGTTGCTGTGAAAAAAGAAATCATGAGGAAGGTAAGAAACTTCCCTCTGATGATTTCTCATTACATGTTTCATATAATTGTCCCATCTCATTATCCTCTGTGTTCCACTGGCATTTAAGGATGCCATATACTGACTTAGTAGTATGTTCCACAGATTCTCGTGGTACTCTTTTTCTGCTTTTTCGCTTAGATGTAATTGCCTGGTTTCCTTTAATCCCAGAGCTTCCAGTGTTATTCAGCAACAGCTCTCTCTAAGCGTGACAAAAAAAATCTGTAGCATTATAAAGTTCAAGAATTCACAGCTTAACAAGTATGTAGACCACTATGCAGACCAAATCAAAGTCTCTACCATATAGTCGTGGTTCTGGTGCCCTCTGCCGAAATAACCGTTTATTCGGCTTCTGAATCCCCCCCCCCCCCCCCCTCCCCCCGGGAGAGCATTGGGAGAGCCTCTGCGAAGGCTCCCTTTAAGAGATACTTCACCTTTTTCATCTCTTTATCTTGCACTTTAGTTCCTTGATTTATTTACTTTTCTATTCTATCTCAACAAAAAGCAGAAGTATGACCCTTTGTTTGCTTCCCTTCTTCCAGTCATACTCATGTTGAAATACGTTCTTTTATTTTCCTTCATAATGTTGTATCACATTTTACAACAACCTTTTATTGAGCTTAGAAAAGTAACATATGAGTTGAGTTGATAAAGAATTAAGAAAAGTCATAAGAATGTGTATACACACAGGAGCTGCGTGTGTGTTTATAAAACCAAGAATCACCTAAATTAGCAATGTAGTTTTTGTTCCTTTCTGGCAGATTTTCTCATGTACTGTAAAACCGGGGGAAAGTAAAAGACATGTAGGGTGATACAGTCAGCATAGGTTTTCTACTGCAAGTCAGTACCTTTGTTTAGCTGCATGTAAACCACAGCCTTACTTTCACTTTGCAGAGGAAG